TCCTTGTTAAACACATACTTTGGGGAGTATGGTTTGAATTCCTTTTTCTTCTTGGCCGGCTGTTTAGAGGAATCAGCCGCCCAGACCCCTTTTCTTTTTTCATCTTTGTTGGACGACTGTTTCTGTCGTCCTTCTCTATTGTCGAACCTCTTCCCGTCCGACTGTTTCATTGTACACAGATCAGTCGCCTGTATATAGGCTTCTGCTTCAATCAAGGCCTCTTGAAGAGTCGCCACCCTTTTTCGAACTAAATCAAATTTGAAGGTAGACCCGTCTTTGAGACCTCTAAAAAAGTCAGTATAAGCTACCTCATCCGGTAACCCTTGAATCTGTATTCTCATCAGGTTGAACCGCCTGATGTAGGAACGAAGCCCCTCCTTTTCACCCTGCTGAATTGTTCCCAAATCAAGGGTCGTTTTCTTCGCAGGGATGTTCATTGCAAAGTTGGAGGCAAATAAGTAAGCAAGCGTCCTGAAACTGTTTACACAACCAGTCGGCAGGTTGCCGAACCATTGCTGTGCAATTCCCTTGAGAGTTGCTGGGAAACACTTGCACCAAGTGGGATCATCCAACCCTTGAAGGTACATCAGGTTGGTGAATGCCATCAGATGGTCTTCCGGGTTAGTAGTGCCATCATAGGCGCCTACTAAAACATTTTTTACTTTGGCCGGCTGAGCGGCTTCAGTAATTTCCTTGGAGAAGGCCGACGGCTGTTCACCAAGTCTAAGCAGCCGTAGCTGCCAGTCCATAGGTTGGACGTTTTTTGCTGCAGGTCCACCAAATGGAGGTGGCTGCATAAAAAATTGTTGTTGCGGCCCAAATGGCAAATTTGGTACCGCCTGCGCACTATGAAAGCCAGACTGACGGGAGGTGCCGCCTGACTGACTCTCATGGTACGACTGAGTTGGCCTCATCGAGGCATTTCGCAAACTGTCCTGAAAATTTGAAGTAGAAGCCGACTCTGATAATCGGTCACTCTTCTTCTGCTCTAGCAGGTGCCGAGCATCTGTGAACGTTTGCTTTGACCCGTCCGCCTGAATATGACGAACCGGTTTCCTATTTCCCGTAGGATAACGGAGTTTTGTGAAATCAAGAGCAGACGGCTCCCGCTTCTTAGATTTAGGATGGGGAGTCGCCTCTCGCCCTTGAACTGGCTTCCTCTTCAGTGAAGTGGAAGGTTTTTTGGCCGCCTGCTCTTTGACTGAAGCAGGCGGTTTTTTGTTGATCAACTCTTGGATCTCTCCCTTGAATCCCCTCATGAAGGTCATGAGTTCGTTCCTTGTGATCGGAGCAGACCCATCAGTCGGTTGTTGCCGAGCAAGCGGTGCGCCTGCTGGCTCGCTTCCTGTTTGAAGATACTCCCGTTCCCTTATTTCAGTATGACGGGTACGGCGGGCCCTTAGGGTCCCGTCTGGAGCTGTATGAGTTTCAACTTCAAATTCACTTTCGGTATCATGGTCCGACTGAACTTGAGGGTCGTCTAGGGGACGCCTCTCTTCTGGGGTCGGTACAGACTTGGATGCCATCTCTGAAGTACTCTCCCCACAGACGGCGCCAAATGTTTCGGGGTTTTCTGATGTCCTGCGGGAGAGTTACAATTCCGAGACTGGAACCGGACGCCTGTACCTGCAAAATAACGGAGACTCCTGAGAGCTCCGCCTCCAACGGTCAAGTTAGTACCTGATTAAGGAGTAATTAATACAGAAATTAAAGTAATAAGGTCTCTCTAGGTGAGAGTATTTAATGTAGGTAATCTGCTTTGCTAGCGAGATCAGCCGGTTATTAGTGTGTTCCGTAATGTTTCTCCTCTGTTCTGTTAATTATTCGGTCCCTTGATTAATGAGGATTAATCGAGTATTTATAGCCTTGGGAAGCGTGCAACTCTCTAGGTTTAAGGTAAACCTAGGGCCGATCGGGCTTCTAGACTGAAATGGGCCTTGATGGCCGGTTGTCCCATTTGGCATGGGTGGACACGTGGCGTGTCTTAAGTGGTCCGTGGAGGACGCGTGGCGGAACCTGGTTGGTCCACTTGTCAAACGGCGCTTGGTGGATAAAAATCCCCTAATCAAAAATAATGTTAATCAAAATTACACACATGAAATACTTAGAACGTTTCGAGTCTCATCCACTCATTCTAAATCATTGCCGAAACAAATTCAGGAATTAAAATAGAAATCCTCCCCAGCAGAGTCGCCAAAAACTGTAGGGAATATTTCAAGCGTTAATACCCTAGCTTGAACCCCACTGTGATCATACACTAAAGTACGGTGGCGTCCAAAGGGAAAGAAGATAGAGCAAAAGAGTCGCCAACAAGTTTTAGGAACTTGTAAACCGTTCACAGGGTGAAGGTTACACCCCTTAACGATCCAAGAGATCGTCAACTCCATAAGGTCTTGAACCAAATAGGGTTCGGGGATGAAGGTACAAATCCAACCTAAAAGAGATTGAACCTGCCCTAATAATAGGCCTCTACTTTATTCTGATCGTATTCATGTGCGCTTTCTGACTAACATGCAATCAATAGGATTAACCCTAAACCTGTTTATCTATGTTGGTTGAATTTAATGCACAAATAAATCTATTATTGGCGATCACTTGAATTATAATCATATAACCCTAAATAAGATTATTAATATCTTATTAAGCGTGATTACAAGTACAAAATTCCCTTTGAACATGCATAAAAGGTGTGATCAAGCAATAACAATAAATATATATCAAGCAACATAATAATAATAAATTACAATTATAATCATAATCATAATATTTATGTTAAAGCATAATAATAGCAAGATCCTAGGCATGATACTAACAATATTAATAACAACTCCTAGCATGTCACTAAACAATAAAAATCATATCTTTAACCCTAACATGATACTAACAATCATAAATATTAGGAAGAACATAAAAGACATCGTAACAATCATATTTAATATTAAAGTTACCCTAGACATGATACTAGGAATATCATAATAATAACCTAAACATGATTTCTACATCATAACATCAATAAAAATCATTAAAGTACTTACTTCGATGTCTCGTACCTCTTTCTAATAACAAAATACACACGTTAGTAACTTCAAGGAAAATAATAAACAAAACAATAATTAAATTAAATAATTGAAAGAGAGATTTGGGACCAAACCCTCATAAATTAAACCTTTCACGTCTAGGGCGAAGACAACTTCGAATATGGCTAGGTGTATCTAAGTCTAATGTATGCGGAATTTTTATATTTGAGAGAAGCTAGTTTAGAAAAGAGAGAGAGAAAGCAATCAAGAGAATCTTGATGAGAATCGGTGAATTGTAGATGAAAACTGGTTCATCAAAACGGAGTTTTTAATACGTTATTTATAAAGAAAATCAGCCAAAATGATAAAATATCAAAACAGAGTTCTGGCGCACAAAAAACTGAGGTGGCGCCAACGCTGGCTATTGGCGCTTGGCGCCAAGCGTAGCACCAGGCGCTACAGCTGGCGTTTGGCGCTTATCTGGAAATTCACGCGTTTTCTTAAAATCAGATAGAAATTGCCGTACAGGAGGATAAAATCGTATCTTCCTCAAAAAACGTTATTTGATTTTAATTAAAACTCTGAAAAGTCAACAAAAGTCAATTTATCAATGCTAATTGAATTAGGAATGAAAAGAACCTTCTAGAAGAATCTAGAAGACTAAAATCATTCCTAATTGCATTAGGAAAGATAAATCTATATTAGGCCCTCCCCTAGATCATTGGGCCGCATATAAGGCTGAAACCGGGCCCAGTTCAGTAAATTGGCCATAACTTCCTCAATATTCATTAGAATTGGGCTTATAATATATCGTTGGAAAGGTCTTGTCAAGCCTCATCCAACTACACTACTATTGAACCCATATCATGGACCAACCAAACTGGATTGACTGTTTCTTCTTAAAATAAGTTTTTAAAAAACAGATAGAAGAGAAAAGAAATTAAAACTATCCGCAACACTAAACTTTCCACACTTTCACTTCATTCGATTATGATTCGACGCGAAAGATACTCATCACCGAGTTTGATTTTGGGGAGACACAAATGGGTGTCTACAGATGTATAGTAACTATATTGTAAATCAGTAAAAGAGCAAAACAAGTTGGGCACGTGTGGGCCCTATTACCTTCCATCTCTCTCTTCCTTTGTCATTTCATATTCTTCTTTCAGTTTATTATTTGGTTGCATAAATTATTCAATTTATCATCTTCCTTCATCACATGTGGGCCCTATTACCTTCCATCTCTCTTCCTTGGAGGCTTGGAGTGAGTCTGGGCGAATTATCAACCAACAAATTCATCTTCTTCCCACTTGAAACCCTTGGTTTAAATTTACTCCTCTTATCCTTGATTTTCCATTAATCATTCTTCCTAAACACCCATTTATCCAATTTCCATTCATCAAAACTCATATCAATTATTGTAACTTCACTTCTCGAGTACGATTTCGAGTCAATTACTTCTTCTACAACATCATCATCAAATTTCACTTCACCATTGTTTTCGATTTTGATCATTTTCTTCTATTTTGATTTTGATATTTTAATTTTATGCATTTTTTCTTCATATTATTGCTTTTTTTTTTTTAATTTTGTTGTTGTTGATTTTTCAACTCCGAGCTAATCGATGAAGAAATTGGGTAAAATTACACCTGCTAGTGAAGCCGATCAAAATGCTACCTTTTTTTTTTTTTTGTGTTTATTTTTGTTGATTTTGATACTCAGTTTTGCATATGTAGCTTAATTACTTTTATGAAAAAGGGTCACTTTTGTATAAAAAATGGGTCACTTTTGTGAAAATAAAGGGTTACTTCTGTGAAAAAAAAGATTATTTTTGTGAAAAAAAAGTCACTTTTGTGCAAAAAAAAAAAAGTCACTTTTGTGAAAATATGGATCATTTTTGTAAAAAAAAAAGGGTCACTTTATAAGAAAAAGGGTAATTTTTCAAAAAATGTTCGATGTACAATAAAATTATTGTAAATCGGAGCATGAAAAAGTTTTTGTTAAATTTATACGCAACATTAGGCAAAAAGTTAGAACGTCAAGTGTCATTATCTCGTGACCTGACTAAAAATTTATCTTTATATATTAGTTGTATGATATGATTTGCATAAAATCTTTGGAGTAAGACAGATAAAATAATTAATGACTTAAATCTACTCCTCCTTTACTTGATATCTTTATTTAATCATGTTGGAGGACTTATTCTACTATCTTTCTCTGCCTCCACCATTCAACTTCATCAATTTTCTTTATATTATTTGTACGCAAATAAAATAATAAATAACCAACTTTCATTTTCAATTTATAAACCACCCCTTTCCCTTATTGAATTTGATCATCATATCCGTACTTTTCCTTCCTTCTCTCTCTTGTTTCCATCATCAATTTGTTAAAGGGCTCTGAAAACCTGGATTTTCTGTTCAATTCTTTTTTCTTTTTATTTTTGCGTAAATTTTACCCTGTCATCCTTTTAACTATATTCGGTCGACATAATTTCCCAATTCAATTTTCATCTCATATAAAACAATATTTGATTGCGGAGAATATTGAATATCATGTAAATATTGTATGACTTTCCTTTATAAACTCGCAGAAATTGATCAACACATTACGAAACAGAAGATGGTTTACTTTGAGTTAGCTTAAAGATTTTCAATTCCCTATATTTTACTTCTTCTGCTTTGGTCTCCCCGAATTTTCGTGGAAATAATAAGCAAGTTCTCGCTGTTTTAATACAACTCCTCTTTGTGTCAACAATTAATTTTTGGGGTCTTTAATACTCTGTAATATATTAATATAACGGAGTATTATTTACTTTATTAAAGTAAGATAAAGAAAAAACATTAGAAATCCTCCGAAAAAAAAAAAAAAAAAAAAAAAAAAAAAACTAAACTGTACTCCGTTATAAAGAGTAATATTTCCGCTGTCTAAACCGTCAAATACTTTAAAAAAAAAAATAAAAATTCTAACCCCGTTTACATCTTCCTTCTCTCTCTATCTATCCTAAGGAAAGAAGTATCCTCCGACAATCTCTCTTCCCTTTTTTTTCTCCTCTGTTTTCTTTTTCCCATTATTACATTCTATTTTTTTCTTTTTTTTTTTTTTAAAAGAGTTTAGGGAGACAGCTCCCTTTCTCCCTACCCTAGATTAATTTTCTCCTTTTAAATCAATATTAATCAGTCAATCATGGTTGTTGTAGAATCAGGATCAATGCATTCCAACCTCGATTGCTTCCTCCATTGCACTACCCCTGTTGTTCCTTCCCAATTCCTCCCCAAGGTTCATTTTGTAATATTTGTAATTATTGAATTTTGCAGGGATCGCATCTATCTTTTATAATTGGGTTCAAAATCAATTTTAATGATATAATTTATATCCTGTGTGCATGTTGTTTGTTTGCAGTCAGAGATGAGGAACTTGAATAGGTTATGGCATCCGTGGGAAAGAGAAAATGTGGAATATTTCAGGTTAAGTGATCTTTGGAACTGTTACGATGAATGGAGTGCTTATGGTGCGGGTGTTCCCATTGTTCTTGATTCGGGTGAAACTCTTGTACAATACTATGTTCCTTATCTCTCTGCAATCCAAATCTTTACCAGCACTCCTTCCCCACCTATTTTCAGGTAGGTTTTATAAGTCAATTGATTTTATTTTAATTTTTTTTTAAATGTCAATTGATTTTTTTATTGAATTATTTCTTGAAAATATTTTTCGATTAATAATAATAAGGTTACTTGGCTATGATTAAACCAATGGATTGTTGTTGTTATAGGGAGGATACGGATTCGGCCGACGGCGAAACGAGGGATTCGTATAGCGAGTCGTGTAGTGATGAAAGTGAATTGTCGAGATGGGATGGATGTTCATCCGAAGAAGGTGGGTTTGAACAAGAGAACTTATGGCAATTGAATGATAGGTTGGGTTGCCTTTATTGTCAATACTTTGAGAGATCAACTCCGTATGGTAGAGTTCCTCTTATGGACAAGGTAACTCTTCTTGTCTTTCGAATCACTTGCCTCTGTTCAACAAATTCCCGTTTAACAAGAAATTATTATATACACATTAGCGCAAAATACACTTAAAAGATATTTTTTATTACTTAATTAATTATCAAATAAACAAAATTAAAAATAACCTTCAACTTACTTAATAGTTACACTTTTTAACATAAGAATAATAAAATTTACTCCTTAACAAATTTGATTGAAATTTAAAAAGTTTTTATAGGTTTATGCTACATTATCTTACATTCTACTCGGGAATATTTTATGTGCATACTTGGGTGTTACCGACTCACCGTTAAGAGTTTTAACCAATCCAATATAATTTGCCAGGCAGTGCCATTTATTCGTCATCTTGTATTATGATTATTAATGGCCTAAAACAAATAGTTGTTTGTTGAAAATTGTTTTATATTAAAAAAAAGGTCAAATTTAAAAATGTTGACTCAATGAGAAATTTATAATATCCATTGTTTTTTATTCTTGTCTTGTACTACTTCCGTTCCCGAAAGAACGACCCATTTGACATAATTTTAGTCCCCAAAAAAATAACCCATTTGCATTAAAATCCCCACCAATTTGCAATAATATTTATGCAAAATTAGTTTCTTAATATAAAATTTTGTTTTCCTATGTAGTACTTTTATTACTTTCTCTCTCTATTTTTTTTACAAAACTCATGTAAATTTATCTTTTCAATATAATTTTATTTCTTTTTTTTTTAACTTTCTTAATACCCGCGAAATCAACCCAAATGACTCGTTCTTTCGGAAACGGAGGGAGTACTCCGTATAGTTTTTTTCCATTTTGACTAAGTTGGATTTTGTATTTATAACACTTGTCACGTCTTAATGAGTGATAATTTCAAAGAATGGAGAGGAGGTGGGGCCGAGTCATCAAGTAGGAAATATCAAAGCTGATACAAATACAATTATTGTATATTTTTCCTACATATAACATCATTAGAAATTTGACACATAATCAAAAAAGAGAGAAAATTAAGAGTAAAATATAAATTGAATTATAATGGAACATGGGCCCATTATAATAACCAATAAAAACATGTCAAAGTAAAGTTATATGTAGGAACCACATACAACAATTGTATGTGTAGTCTTTAGCGAAATATCGATTAATGACTTTGGTATTGTTTTTAGGGAAGGATGGGGTTGAGCTTGTTATAAAATCTAATTTAATTATCTATTTCAAAAAAAAAAAAAAATAAGTAAATTGTTGTGATGGATATAGCAAAGAATGTCACATTGAGTTTAAGCTATTCTTCTTTGTAGTTGATCTTAACGACTAGTTAGTCTATTATGAGTACAGAATAATTTGTTACTTTCATTGTCTCTAATTATTTAATTCAACTATGGATTGAATGGATAAGAATATTAAGTGGTGGGACTTAAAGTTATTTTCGTAACTTTTGATTCTTCATAGACACTATGGTAAGAAGATACTTCTTAGGGACTTACAAACAGAATAATGGGGTAAACTTTAGGTAGCTTAAGAGTATTCAATGGATTTATATTTGTGAATGGTTACGGAATGGCTAATATTCTTCCCCTTTTATTTTGCCAACTTTATGTCTTCCCAATGTTCACTGCAACTAAGTTTCTATTTGCAAGTTTGCACCCAGTGAAAATATATTGAGAGATTCAAAAAGTTTAAGCTTATTATCTCATGTTTTAAGAACATTACATTCATAAGTGATTCTATTTATTATTACCGTGTAGATACATTCCATAATATACTAGAAAACATATTGAACTATTATGGAATATAATATACTAGAATCATACGATGATACGAGTAATAATACTACCATTTTCTTATAAGATATGTAAGGCAATATTAGCCATTTAAATGAACTGATGTATTTTACTTTTAGAATGAAATATAATGAATAAAATTTGATCAAGATAAAATCAACAATATTATAATTTGACATTTGCCAAATAAGATATTTCAAACCAGAAAGTTTAATCTTTAAATAATATAGAATATGATTATAACGTTTTAACGTTTAAAGATTTACAGCGTAAAATATTTTAATGATAAAATAACATGTGTTGTTTCTGATAATTTCTCTTGATTATATTTGTATTAGGTTGGGGGTAGGCCCCGACGGGGTAGTTATAGACACTTTTCCATACTTTGTATCATGTCAGAAATTTTCGTATGTGGCTGATTACATCGTATGGCCGATATTACTTATTTATGGGTTCTATGGTCGGTCTGGGGCTATTCGGTCGATCAGAAGTTACTTGATCGGTCAGCAGTTACCCGACCGGGGGTTACTCAATCGGTTAAGAGATATTTGATCAATTTTTGATGTGTGTCAGTTGGTCACATGGTGTGGCCAACCACAGAGAAACACATGTTGTATATATCGATTGATAAATTCTTGACAAAGGTTAAGATTAGGGGTGTCAATTCGGTTAAACAATTCGGGTTTGGGTTGGGTTTATCAGTTTCGGGTTATAACGGGTTGAAATAATAAGCGGGTCGGTTTGGGTTGGTTTTGAAAATTATCGGGTCAGTTCGATTTGGTTTTTTAAATTGCAGTTTCTATTCGGATCGGGTCCTTAACGGGTCGGGTTCTAGTCGGTTTGGGTTATAATCAATTTGGGTTGAAGCGGGTCGATTTGAAAACGGGTTTAGCCAGTTTAATGTGGGTTTTGGTTAAAAACAGTTCAAGTCTTAATCAAGACGGGTTGTAATTGGTTCGGGTCATAATCAGTTTGGGTTTAACTGGGTCGGTTCGAAAATGGGTTTCGGTTCAAAACAGATTGAGTGAAATTGGGTCCAATCATTATTGTTTCAGGTTATAATCGGTTTAAATTGAACTTGGTTGGTTTGAAAACGAGTTTACCCAATTTGAAGCGGGTTCCTAATCAAATCATATCAGGTTCAAATTGAGTCGGATGATTATCAAGTCGAATTAGTCAGATAACGGTTAGGAACGAGTCATGTTATAATCAAGTCAAGTCATAAATAAGTTGGGTTTATCAAGTAGTGGGTTGAAATAGATTAGATCATAAAGATATTGGGTAACAGGTTGTAAATGACTCAGTCATAACGGGTTACGGGTTCTAAACGGTTTGGTCATAACGGCTTATGGGTCATAAACGGTTCGGTCACAACGGGTTACGGATTATAACCGGTTCGGTCACAACATGTTACGGATTGGAACGATTTAGGTTTATCGGATTTTTATCGGGTTTTAACGGTTTTCGGTTTAAAACGGGTCGGGTTCCTATCGGATTTAAACGTAATCGGTTTGGGTTGCTTTCAGTTTCGGGTTGTAACGGTTTGGCTTGATAACGGGTTGGGTTAGTAACGGTTTGCACAAATTCGGTTCAGTTCAGTTTCGGGTTGGAAAAAATTGGGTCGGGTCAGTTTTCGGTTTCCAAAAAATAAATTTTAAACAGTTCAGTTCCTTTTCGGATCGGTTCGAAACAGTCGGGTTTAACGGTTCGGCTCAGAAACTGACAGCTCTAGTTAAGATATAGAAAAATTCTCATGTATACACCTGTTACTAGTGACCATATTGATATTTTCTTTTGTTGCCCCAAGTATTTTAGACTTTGTAGCTTAGTGGGTGATTATGGTATGGCATTATATCAAGCGTGCGTGTTATTGGTGTCAAATTGTAATTGTAATAACCACTTATTGGCTTAGTGTTACTAGTGACCATATTTGACAATCTTGTATAATGCTATCATCTTCAAGTACATTTACATTTTCTTTTTTTATATACTTTTGCTGGAAAAAGTAAAAGAATTTTGTTACATCTCTTGTGCATAAAAGGTTAAATTTTTTGTATTTTGATTGTGACACATGAATGTGCAAACAAAGTTTGTTGAATGTTTCACAATTTTTAGCTCTAGTGAACAAAGAATATTCATTCTTTTATGCTCATAATTTTGTCTATTTTTGGTTGTTCAGATTAGTGAATTAGCTCGGAGATACCCTGGATTAATGTCATTAAAGAGCGTTGATCTCTCTCCCGCTAGTTGGATGGCTGTTGCCTGGTAAATACATTCTTCATTATATCACGAAATATTATGCCCTTTGTTTTTTAAGTTGACATATTCTTTTAGGCACATTTACACAAATTTTTTAAAAGTTGGCGACTGAGTGGGTGTGTACAAATAAGGTGGTTTTAAGTATAAGATAGACAAAGGGAGCAAACAAACAAAACAGACAATAATAAAAAAAAAATTGTATAAGATAGAGATAATATACTATAATAAAAACACTGAACGGATAAGATAGTAGTTTTTTCACTTTTTTTGTACAAAAAGAGTATTTTTGGTAAACAAAGAAAAAAGTAAGGATACTTTTGTCCAAAAAATGAATGATGGATTACACTAGATTTAAAACATAGAAGTAGTTTCTTTCAAAAAATAAAAAAACATAGAAGTAGTGGGCAAAAAAAAAAAAAAAAAAAAAAGGATAGAAGTAGTGGGCAACAAAAAAAAAAAAAAAAAAAAAAAAAAAGCATAGAAGTAGTGGAATACCTAACATTTATCACATTCAAATTGGAATATATGAAGTATTATACGCAGTATTATATTACTCCCCCCGTTTTTAAATATTTGCTCCATTTTTTTATGCGAAGAGTTTTTAGAAGAAATGAGAGAAAATAATAATATTTGGAGGTTGTAGGGTAAGTGGAAGAATAAAAAATTGTAAAGAGCAAAAGTAGTGGAGAGGATTGGAAGAGAGACCGAGAGAAAATATGTGGTGGGTCCACTAGGTGAGAGAAATTAGTTAAATATTGTAAAAGCTTTCCAAATAAGGAAATGAAGTAAGAATTTTAAAACGGTTGAAAAAGAAAAGTGGAGCAAATATTTAAAAACAGAGAGAGTATTATGGAACAAATGGAGTATTATAATTTAACTTTTGATTTAAGAAGTTAATTAAAAGAAAGTACAATAATTATATTATGAGAAGGATAGAATATTATGGCTCAAATCTCGACTTAAAAAGTCATACAATAATTACATCATAATATTATGGATTTTGCTAACGAACGCCGCGGGGCGTTGGATAAGCATTTAAAATGTTATCTAAAATGATATTAATTAAGGAAAATATGACAAAATCACGCGTCGATCGGTATAATTAATGTGAATTTTTAATTTATCTTTCTACTTTTAGCTAGCTTATCCAACGTCCTCGGAACATTCGTTAGCTTTTGCCTAATATTATACAATAACAGGAAGAAGTAATTTTCAGCGTGGAAAATCATTTTTCAACGCAATTAGTGTAGTGATGCTAACCAATGTGATATTGTGATTTTGTCAACATTGGTGCAGGTATCCAATATATCACATTCCAATGGGGAAAACTATAAAGGATTTGTCTACATGCTTCTTGACTTACCACACCCTTTCATCCTCGTTTCAAGGTATTCTGTCAAATCACTTGACTTGATTTGTTATTGTCAAATCTTAATTGATTTTTATTATGGAGTACTGATTGCCATGTTTGAAAATGCACCCTTAAAATTGGTTGTTTATTTTCTCATCGAGGTGTTAATCTGTGTTCTCGGTGGAGTTTGGATTGGGTCTGGGTTGATCCGATTATTTTGGACTTAAATCATGCTAAATTATTGGGCTTTTTTAGATATAGTATTGGATTGACTCACATCGTGCTAGGTCCAATTGTTTCACGTTGTTACTCTAGTCTCAATTATTTGAATTAAATATGTAATATATTACCTCTATTTTTTTTAGTTGACACCGTTTGACTTTTATAATATTTACATACTACGCTTTGACTCGCTTTTGTTATTTATAAATACGATAAAATATAATCATGCAAGATCTTGTTTGAATCGACTTGATATATATTTTATTAATATACATTTTTTATAATTTTATAATGTTGATAGTTACAAATATTAATCGTTAAAACATGTGTTGACAAACGTGATAATTAAAAGGTGTCAACTAAAATAAATGGAGATAGTATTACTTATATTATCTCTAACCAAGTCCATTTCCTGCCATCATTTCAGTTAGGATAAAGAAGAAAGTAAGAAACAATGACAAATTTTGTATACATTGTACAGTTTGGACTATAAATTTGTACGGTTTTGTGATATTAACATTAATGTCAAGCAGTCTAGATAATTTCTCAATTCCAACGTGTTTCTTACCGAATATGTTGCTGTCATGAAACTAGATATGGACCACGACGACGACATGGAGGCCCCAGAATGGATAAGGAAGAGAAAGGAAGGAGAAGGCATCCCTCTCCCAGCTTTTGGTCTTGCCACTTACAAAATGCAAGGCAGCGTGTGGGTTTCGGGGAGGGGCGGTCGGGACCAGGATCGAGTTGTGTCACTCTTGAGTGTTGCTGATTCTTGGCTTAAACAACTTAGAGTTCAACACCATGACTTTAACTATTTCACCGGGATTAGGCGTGGCTGAAACGTGTTTCAATCCTTCATTGATCTCTTAACAAAAATCTTCTCCTTTAACCCACTGTAAAGGAAACTGACCCAAGAGTTCTCCCATTTTTCTTGTGGTTTCTCTCTTTCTTTTCTTGGTTTTCTGTTAAAAAAAAAAATGTATCTAATTTGTCTGTCCGTCGAGAACACCTAAATTAGCAAAAATATAAAAGGTCGAAAACCCCCCTCAGTGTCTCCCTGTAATGCACATCGAAGCACTCATCTCAGTACTATATCTTTTCGATCCGATTTCTTGTTGGAGTCTCTCATTTTAACTTAGTAGAATTTGGGATAGGTGAACCCAAAACTTTGCTTAAACAACGGTTGATAAGTGATGAGTTTAATTTAGAGCCTGAATACGAGTTCGTGACAACAGTGGATATGGTAGTAGGGACCTGCTGGGGCTGATAAGAGTAGTAGTTGGTTGATTTCGTGGCGTTGATAGTGGAGGCTTATCTAGAGCTTTAGTTCCCCCTCACCAATCTTTGGTGGTACTCAATACGGAGTACTTTTTCACGAGCAAAAGAAGATGGTTATCTTGCTTTTTTCAAGTCATGGGTGGATTGGTCCATAGAATAATGTGGATAAAATGTAGAGAAAAAGGCAGAGCATGTACTACTTTGTTCAAAATGTTAATTTTTCAAGGGGTTGTGGTGTATATTCTTCTCTATTTCAATGTAATGAATCCATGAAAGATGCTTGAAAAAACGCTTTGTAGAAAGCTCTTATTGCATCAAATAATCAGATCTATCTTTATGTATGTGTGTGTCATTGTTCTTTATATAAAATATCTCAGTAATTCCCATAATAAGTGTTGGTGTTTATGGGAATAAACCATAACACCAATTTTAGGAAGAAGAAACCAAGGATCTTTAAGAGCAAACACAATGGCTGTTCACATCCATTGTGGTTATCACTTATTTTATTAATTTTTCTATCTTTCACCTTACATATAACCATTCTTATACCCATTTAATAACCAACTAGTTTTAGGTCTGGACAATGCTCCGGGTCATAAATTAAAGTGAAATATATTGGTGGTTTTATAATTTAATAAAATATTATTGAATTTTTCAAAATTCATTATAAAATATGCAATAATCTAACTTTTATAGTTCATAGTAGTTTGTTTAATTTGTTACAGGAATCCTTATCTACCACATAAATTTCTTCAAAGTAAACACATGTTATGGTTTTAAAATTGCTATATATTTTTGTGTTACATATTTTAAATACAGATAAATTACTCTCTCTCTAGAAATAGAGAGCTTCTCACTCTAGAAATAGAGCTACCCTCAAAGGGTGTTTTTGTCACGGTGGTTTGCTTTTCCTACCCTCCTAGATTCCCACCCCGTAATCATCATTACATTTTTGGGTAATTTGTGCTTGAGGGTTTTTTGCCGCTCTGTGCTTTTACCCTGGGTTGCCATCTGGCACTACTAACTGGTGCCTCTCAGAAAGGCCAATTGCTTTAGATCAAACAATCATTCCCTTGTTAACGGCATTGTTCATTATACACTCTTCTGTTACTCTTGCTTACTGCCGTTACTTGGTTTCTTCTTTCAACTATCTCATTTCCTCATAACAGCGGCTCAAATTAAACAGATTTGGTCTCTTTTTAAATTTTTTGGGTTTCTAAATCACCAATTGATTACGGCGGTAATTCTCTTTAACCAAAGCTAATTTGCATGCTTTTTACACCATCAACGAGGCAGAAATGCGAAGCGCCTCCTTGTCATGGTGGCTATTATATAGAACTTCTATTCTCACAACCTTTCCACCTCTTCTCAGCTCTTTTATCACTTCTCTTTTCACTTCTGTAACTCCACTTTGTTGCTTATACCCCCATAATGCCTGAGCGCAGTATTTATATATGTTAGGAACATTAACAGGTCAGCTGCACTAGCTGAACTGCAACCTTATAGAGTTGATGGAAGCAGGGCTTTCTGGCAGAAATGTGTGTATGGGTACCTCATGGATTATCGCACTTTGAGCCCTACCTGACTGCCTCCATTCGAGACTTCATAAACACAAGATGGAGAACAAGGGGCTACATTGATGTATTTAAGATGAATGATCTTTATGTTTTTAAGTGTACCAATGATGAAGAAAAAAGTGACCTGCTTGCAAAAACAAAAGCTTGTTTCGATGGTGCACTGATGGTCTTCGTGCCATGGTGGCCAAACCAAGTGCCACACACGGTCAGATTCAGGAAAGCCAAATTTTGGGTGAGAATTTGTGGTCTCCCCTGTGAATATCTCAATTCCCACATGGCAGAGACGGTGGGAGAGTTGCTAGGAATGCCTTTCCTGGTCGACTTTCAGCCTCAATTCGTCCCAGAAACAATTATCTAAGGATTGAAGTGCTGCTGAACCTTGGTGAGCCTCTTATACCAGGTTTCTTCTTAAAACTAGATGATGATGCTGTCATCTGGATTAAACTAAGGTACGAAAATCTATTTAAATATTGCGTAAGATGTGGTAGGATTGGTCATAAATTTACTAGATGTGGGAGACACGAGGATTTAATCCATCAAGATGTTAGTCACTTGATGATGCGATACCAATCAAGGGGCATCCCGACCCTTGAAAAAGATGAGGGCTTTTCTATGCTCAACTTAGACTTACGTGCTACGCCTGCCTCCGAGCGTACTATAACCCCAAGAGAATTATTGGGGATGATCCAAACCAACCACCATCCCCAAATTTCAGAGCCTCGGATATTATGGTGGATTTTGACTTGGAAATTCAGAATGGGGGAAGAACAGTTACTCCGGGGACAAGGTTTAATAGTAGGGATGTGCCGTTCAGAGATCCTGTAGTGAATCAAGTAAACGTACCTCTGCATCAACCCCAACAAAATGCAGTGGATGGTATGGATACAGAGGAACAGGGGCCTGAACCAGAAAATGTTGCGGCCGTAGAGATGACACAGGACAAGGATGGTGGTGAAGACCCTTACAACACTGCAGCAGCGGCGGTCTCAATTCCAATCGAAAATAATGATGCTGAAGCTGCTGGGAACAGGGGATCCCAAAGCGTGGTGCTTAGGTATGGACCTGAAATTGAAAGCCTACGCTTTGATATGCTTATGAGCTTTGCTATCCAATCACGAGTAGAGATAAATGAAGACATTGCTGGAAGAAGGGTGGATAACGCAAGGTTCAACCAACGCTTCTTCATCGAATTTGACTCACAAAACTACCCTAGGGAGGTGGAAATTAGGGCACCTGGTTCCCCGATATTCGATCCAATGGATTATCAAGGAAACGAGGATAATGATGCTTTCCCAATTGGACACATCCCTGAGGACCCGATGAGTCCTTGGCTAGGGGAACAACAGGTTGACTTTGCTGAGGAGGATTTACCAGAGGAGAACAGTGTCGAAGCTCCGACAAATTTGCAAGAACAAGTACAGCCTCGAATTGAGCAATTGACGGTTGAAATTGGAGCAACTAGGGAGATTGAGAAGGTTCAACCATCAGAAACCATGTCTAGTAGTGCCTTAATTTTTACAAGGTGGGGGGGAGAAAGATCGAATGGGGAGAATGGAGTGCCGCAGAAGGTTTCAGAAGGGCAAGAACAAGAGGCGTTACAAGCAAGAGAATTGCCCCTTAAAAAGGAAAGCTATATCAGATTTAGATCTAGTCTCACTCCAATTTATAGAGGATGATGCTGATTCACACTTAGTAAGGAAAAAGAAGGGGAAAAGTGTGAGTTTTAATGGTACTACTACAGCAGAAGGGCCTTCAACTTCTTACAAACCTGGGCATGGGCCGAGCTCCTCCTTTGCCTTTGATTGCAATTTAATCCTGACCTATGAAGGTGATGGGCTTGCGGTGGTTGACCCAAATCAACCGCCTCTAGTGTAGTGATCAGTTTAATTTGGAATTGTCGGAGAATTAAAAGCCCAACAACCCCGATAATCCTGATTCTTAAAAGACTTGTTGGGTCTTTTGAACTGGATTTTGTCTTTCTATCGGAAACTAAAAGTAACTCGGATTTGGTTTTTAATTGGTTAAGAAGTCTAGGTTTTAATTTCTATAAAGGGGTCAATCCTAGTGGTCGAAGTGGGGTTTGTGGTTAGGTTGGAAGGATAAAAAAAATTTTAATGTTGTTTGCGTCAATTTCCTTGTAGTTGATATCAATTATCGTATTAATGGAATGTGGAGATTGGTTTTGGTGTATGACGAACCTAGCAATTCACATAGAAAAGACGTTTGGAATTGTCTCAATCAATGGACAAATCCGGACCTCATCTTACCAATTACCTTAGTAGGGAATTTTAATCAAATCGACTCCCAACTAGATAAATTAGGTGATAAATCTACTCCCATACGTGGTGCAAATTTTTTCAACGAGTGGAAAGATTACAACAACTTACACGACTTAGTCTATGAGGGACCAAGATTCACTTGGTCGAATGGTAGGGAAGGTGACGCTCTAGTTTTAGAACGACTCGAAAAAGGCTACGCAAATCCAACTTGGTTAACTAAGTTCCCTCATTCTCATATCATTCACAAACCAATACAAGTTTCAGACCATGCCCCAATTATCTTCCAAACCAGGCCTGCAAATAAGAAAAAGAGAAGCAATTATAAGCTAGAGCAATGGAGTCTCAACTATAATGATTGTATTAGTGCTGTGCAAATTGGTTGGTGCTCTAATCAGAGAGGTTCCCTCATGTATTACCAACAGATTAAGGAGAGTTTTGAATGATTTGGTTGGACAATTCCAAAACGCTTTAATCTCAGGAAGAGTGATTTCTGACAACATTCTAATTGCGCACGAATTATTAGAAAATATTAGAAGGACCAAGAAGGGGGTTAAAGGCAAGCTAGCCATTAAAACGGACATGAGTAAAGCGTACGATAGAATTAAGTGGGGTTTCCTTGAGAAAGTTTTACATAAATTTGGCTTAGCTGATCTGATGATCAGAACAATTATGAATTTTGTGAGCTCGGTTACCTTTTATGTCCTTATCAATGGCTCACCACGGGAAAAATTTAAACCCAAGTGTGGTCTTCGACAAGGGGATCCCCTTTCCCCGTACTTATTTATACTTTGTATGGAGGGTCTATCTGGGTTGCTTAATTTACAGGAAGAGAAAGGAAACATTGTTGGGATCAGGGTGGCTAATAAAACACCAAAGATTAGTCATCTGTTTTTTGCAGATGATTCTGTGTTCTTCCTCCAAGGAAAGGATAACAATGTTATGGCCTTGAGAGAGGTGCTTGATGTCTACTGCAGGGCCTCTGGGCAGGTTATTAATCAAGACAAGTCTGTGCTTATCTCTAGCCCTAACATGGATGAAACTGAGTCAAATAAATACAGTGATATTCTTGGAATTAAAAAGAGCAGCAAGTTTGGTATATACCTTGGCATTCCAGATGACTTTGGGGTTAATAAGCAACAGATTTTTGGTAGTTTGGTTAATAGAGCGAGTGAAAGAAAGGTTAAACGCATGGAACTCCCTTTTTCTATCACATGCTGGCAGGCTTACTCTCATCAAGTCTGTTTTAACTAGTTTAGGCACCTATGTGCTTTCTGTTTTTAAGTGCCCTGTAGGTATTCTAAAAAAGATCAACAGTATAGTTGCCAATCTGGTGGTTGGGAAATAGAACTGTCAAAGGGGTGTATTGGAAGAAATGGTCTCACCTAGCTAACTCAAATTAGAGAAAAAGGGGGCCTTGTGGATGCTCGGTTTTTTAACCAAGCTCTACTTGCAAAGCAAGGGTGGCGTATCATACATGACACTAAC